ATGCAACTTCGACTCTTATTACCCTGATGGGAGTTATGTTTACAGGTAAATTCGATGTGTAGATTTTGTTTCTGGGAAAAATTTTGTTCTTAAATCCAAGCATAGTTGCCATGGAATTGGACAGAGCAATATCGAATACAGAATGGAGTTCACACTTCAAAGTATTAGTGTTGGCTTTCAAAGAGAACATTTCATCAACTTTGTTTTCATATCTCTCTTTATATGTATCATTCATTGATATTATTTCATGTTGTATGTATTTATTAATATATTCGATTTCATAAACACCTTCAAGAAGGGTTACCATATTACTCCCGTCACCCTCGCGAGTAAGAGATATTTTATTATGTTGATCATCGATATTGTATATGGTGTTGTACGAATAAAAGCCAATCATATTCTGCACTTATATCCAACTCGATTGGTGGATAAAAATTAGCAGACAGTTTGCTAGTGTAACCCGTTAGAGTAAACGTGTTAGACATGACTGAAGACATGATGAATGAAAACATGGTCTTATATAGGTAAAAAAGTATTTATTGATTACAACAGTTGTTTGATTCAGATGTATTTTTAACATTGATATCTTGCATGTTATAGTAACAACAAAACATTTTTCTTGGTGGCGGTCCATCTGCTTCATCATCACTCCTGCTTATTCCATGGTGTTCCCAGCAGAATTGGAATCGCTGTATATCAGCGTCCTCCTTCAAATGCTCCGGCAGTTTGTTAAATACATGTGCTATTTCATTTGGCGTGCAGCATATAAGTACCTCTTTCGGTATGTGTGCAAGTTCATCTCGCGTCACATTCTACAAGCTTCTCTCCCTTCAAAAGGCTTTAAGAGAGTCTCTAATTTTTTTCAATCGTTCGTGATCCATTGTCTTCAGGGCTCTGATGTTTCTTCAGATAGAAATCGCAGACACAAATGACCACACCAAAACCTATTGAACTGTTCTTGTCGATTATAATTGTACAAGGTTTTTATCTTTCTCGACTTGTTGGTCAAATATTTGATTAGCTCCTTGGGTGGGCGTAGATTGCCGAAACTATGATAGTACCATACAACCATCCCACGTTTTATATATGAAACCCAATGTGACCCATCCCCACTCTTGTTATCTAGATTAATTATGAGTGATTCATTCTTCAGGGGACCTTGCTCGGACATTTCATCGCGCATAAATATTCCTTTGAAATATGGTATTTTTAGCTTCCTAGCATAATAGATTAGATCTATATTTGTTAGCGGTCGAGGGGGGGGCGTTTTTCAATAGTTTTTTGAATTCCTTAACTTGATGAATAACCCCAATCCTTTACGGTATGGTTTCAGAAAGAGACCATCCCTAATTCTATTCACATTAGAAGAAGGTGGTGAAGTGCTTTTATTTTGAATTTGCTGACGCACTGAACTAGCTGTTTTAGCAGCTCTTGTTATGTTTTGAATACCCTCAGCTAGACTACCTAATGCTGAAAGACCGGCAAAAATTGGTATCAGAGGAAGGATGCCTTCAACCTTGGGAATAGGTATAACTCGTGGAAGCTGAATCAGCCGTTTTCCACCGATGGATCTGATATGCTTCTGGGCAGCAAGTAATGCTGCGAAAGTCGCCTTTGCTAGTACTCTCTTGTCTGGTTTACAGATTGAGAACCTCTTCATGTGTTCGCATACTTTAATCACTATCCCCGTTCCAAAATGTACGTTTTATTCTGTATATTTTCAAAATCATTGAACCAACCGAAATATCAATTTATACATAAAGTACTAACTTCGGTCAATGGTTTAGGTTATTATGCATTTAACAATAATGGTGATATCTTAACGCCATCGAAAGCCAAGCCGAATTCAATATTCATTTTTGATGACGTAATGACAGAAAATTAGACTTCTATTGTAGAATACTCCAGCATGGGTAGGCACAAAGGTGTGGATTGCTTCTATTGTGTGCAGGGTTACTCCTGGGTGCCCAAAAGAGTAATAAGATACAATGCTAACCTAATTGTCTTATTCAAGGTGGATAACACACATTATCTCATGTTTTCTCCGATCATGTAGCACCTGATATGACCTTTGAGCAATTTCAAGACATTTGTGCAATGTGCTGGAGCGATCAATATGGATTCTTAGTCATCGATAAGGATAGCGAACTGACAAGTAGTCGTTACCGGAAGGGGTTTGATAGTTTCATAAATCCACTGGAAGATTAAAAACACCATCAATCAATCGTGGGACTGCATCTAGTACGCATCGCGGTGGATTAAAAGATAGCAAAATGAAACAGCAGCAGAATAATACCGATGTAGCACTCAAGAAGGAATTAGTAGATGCAGCAGAATCAGTTCGGAAGAAATTTATTGCTATCAAGAAAGGGCGTGAATTCCATGATAGTGCATTGCTGCAGGTATATGAGCCCATTACTAAGCAGCTCAAAACAATAGCGGAAGCATCTATATCCAGCTTGTCGAAACAGTCAATCGGTAGTCCAAGCATCCTAAAAAAAGTATGGCACTAGGCAGCAGCGGTGGCCGCAGTAGTAGACTCTTCGGTCTCTTGATCAGTCGCCGTGCGCTGTGCGGGTTCGAGTCCCGTCCCAGGAGAAATTTTTCTCCTGGCTATGGATGTTGTGATTGTCCGTAGGTGGTAGACGGTCTCTGACTGTCAAACGTGGAGGTACCACACGGCGGATCTCGTAGGCTGAGCCAGAATGTGTGCATGTTGCATGCACACGTGTTCCCTCGCCAGAGTCCGTGTGGCGTCCCCCTTTCCCCTGTATCCCCCTATAGCCCCACGGTGTCCAATGGGTGTTTAGGCCTTAGGCCTTCGTGGTAGTTGGAGTATAAAAAAATCATTTGATGAATCAAGAAATAAATTATTTGATGCGACAAAATCAGGTGTAAGAAAAACTGAGTTGCTTGAGAACAGTAGTGAATTCAATGACCATACATTTGAGCAGATCTTTCCACCGACTACAAGCACACCAATAGCACAATCTATGGAATCAGATAAATCAGGAAACGCATCATTTGGTGACTTGACTCATGCTAAACTTTCTACTATTGCCCCGATGCAAACGCAATCTGACACACATTCATTACTCGGAGTGCATGAAGAAAATTCAATGAGTAGATACATGTCTACTTCAAATCATAGTGAAGCATCCGGATCTTTGACCCACTTGATAAATAACCATATATCTAATTTGAAAGCAAACAATCCAGGGTATGGAGGCGTATACAATCTGAGAATAAATCCACAGTCGGACAAGTTATTATTAAGCAAACTCCAAGTGAGCTTTGATATTGGTGGACTTTACCTGCTATTGGATTCTGAGAAGAAGAAGGAGAGAATAAAATTTAAAATGTCTCCAGAATTACTCGATTTGATATTTTTGGACAAACCAAAATATAATGATTAAAACTAATGTACTTCGTAAAGCATATTGTTCTACATATGACCCAGACCCAGACGCCTGAGATCATCAGTGGGTCTGGGTATATATTTGAAAGCACCCAAATATAAAATATATAACGATAAGCAATATGAATATGTATATTGGAATAATATCAATGAGTTAATTGATAGACTGAGGCTGCTATGTAGCTAAAAAATGGCTGGGCATACAAACCACGATAATGAAATTATATCATTAATAGAAGAATTGCGTGAAGAGGGTGTCATACGTTGATTCGCATATATCTTTATTTGTCAACCTAGAGTATATCACATCACTTATAAATATGCCTTTAATGCAGCGTGATGTTAGGTATGGCGCCGTTGACAAATTTGGACGTTGCGCGTCAAAATGGCATAGCGTACTTAGTACACCTGGCATTGGCTTCAATCTAACTACTAATGGTGACTACGATATTGAAAAAAAAACTGATGAAGAATGTTGGTGATCCTGTGGACAAAAACGATGCTGTGACTGTAAAGTATATTGAAGAAACCATGAATAAATTTGTAACCGAAATGGGTAAATTGATACGACTAGCAGTTTCCAATGTATTAAGTGATTCAGTGACATACTGCAACGATAAGGTGCTGGAAAGTAAACGTGACTTTGACAAAAAGTTTAACAAATAGAGTACGATTTTAAATCTATCACTTCCATCTATATAAACTAGATACCTGCAAATACAAGCTCATTCCATCAGTGTATTCATAGTAGTGAATATGTCTATCGTAAGCGAAACAAAACGTGGTATAGCCAAGGAGCTACATATGGCGGGTCGAAGGAATTTCCCCCGCCGAAGAACTACCATAAAGGGTTTCGGTGACTTGTGGCAAGCTGATTTGGCTGAAATGCAATCTTTCAGTGAAGAGAATGATGGATATAGATACATAATAGTAGTTATCAATTGCTATTCTAAGTTCATGTGGTGCAGACCAATTGAAAGGAAAGATATGATAACCGTAACTATTGCAATGGATGATATTTTACAAACGGCTACCCATCACCCAAAGAACCTACAAACGGATAATGAATCGGAGTTCTACAACAGCAAATTTTCCGCTCTGATGCACAAGTATGGGATTAACCATTATTCCACATACAGTACAAAAAAGCAGCAATAGTTGAGAGAGCTATCCGATTACTAAAACACCTACTTGTCACTAAATTTTCAGTCAGGGGGTGCTACCGGTGGATCAATATCGTAGCAGATGTTACTGATCTTTATCACAACAGGAAACATCGAACGACAGGTGTAAGCCCCATCGGAGTCGACTTCCATACACGATTGAATGTGTGCAATCATCCAAAAGTAGCTGAAAAAGGGAATCTTAAGCCTGGCGATATCGTCAGAGTAAGCAAATACAAAAGTCTTTTTGAAAAAGGGTATACATCGAACTATTCGACGGAGTTGTTTAAAATATACAAAGTCAACATTTCAAATCCAGTTACATATATGTTAGAAGACGTGGAAGGTTTTCCAATAAAAGGCTGTTTCTACGAGAACTAAGAAAAATAAAATTTCCAAATGAGTACTTGATTGAAAAGGTGATTAGGAGAAAGGGCAACAAGCTGTTAGTTAAATGGTTGGGATTTCCACATTATAAAAACTCGTGGATAGATATTAATGATGTATTGTAATCGTTTTCTGTTGGACTCTCAGTTTTATGTTTTGTGTTATATTTACGTAGTCGCTATATGTTCGAAATGGTTGTATCAATAAAAAAAATACAAATTCTTTAAATCTTGTTTTAATAAACTAACCTAGACACATTGATTTTTACATTCATTCAAAACCCCTGAACATACCATACCCACTTCACTCTCCCTCCACTGTTATCTTTCGTTTCAGATTCAAAGTCCTTTACCTGTCCACAAGGGCAATATAAAAACGTTAAATCTGCCTGGCCTTACTTATCCTTATTGGTTAGCATGCATACAAGAGGTTAGGCCATGCCGTATATTTACTAATCATAAAACGCCTCTAACCTACCGATTGATCGTCCTCCTCTTTGAATTCACCCCCTCCCCCTTATATGTGTGTGTTAGGATTCCACATAAATTCAGTCGCACCTGCTACGTTACACTGGTTGAGTCTGTTAGTATCAGCATATTTTGTCCCCATAATCAATATCATTATGCAAGCAACCGCGAATAATCTAGATGACATTGCAGTCCTCCATAATAATTTGGATGCAATTATAGCTGACCTGGAAGGTGACGAAATTCAACTGACTCAGATGACAAACTGACATAGAACTCCGAGAGTTCATTCAAATTAGACCTGCTGAAGCTGCGTGTTGGAAAATACAATGGATAATCCCACAACAACACCGCTTCCAGCAGTGAAGGCTCACATCTCGCCTTCAAAATCGTTAAACCAGATGAAGCACGTAATTGAAAGAACAAAGAAAACCTCCACCAAGCAGCCGAACAGTCAAAATGGTATCAATGCTTTCAAAGAAAGTATAATGCTAATTAAATCAGACATCCAAAATACCGAGCGACAATTGGCAGTGGAAATGGATAAGAGTCAAAAACTGCAAGAACTTCTTCATCAAGACGAGGAACTTCTAAAACAGTTAGACGAGGACAGAAGCGCGTACGTGAACAGAAAAATAGTAGGAACCGGCAACTGGACGAAGTGATGAAAAGGGTTGACAACTTGAAAGAAATGGCACAACGGAAGAGGGGCAAGCTTTTAGAAGAAAAAGAAACACTTTTACTTTTATTTGATTTTTGAAAATGTACATATATATGTATGTTATATGCACTCAAAACAATGGACTTACTATTCCATACAATGTTGCACCAGACGCTAGCTCAGCAACAGATAACGACTTCTCGCTAACTCGTTGTTTACGATTTATTTTCTAGAAGTGCTTTGTAAGCACACTAATAGTATAAATAGGCCTTGCGCCCATTTCATGTTGTTCAATACCCGGCGCGACACCGTAATTTACGCTAACTAATAAGTTCAATTGTAACATTTGTAACGGACAGAAGTTACTGTCCTCAAATAAATTTTTTAAAAAGTAAAGTTGAATTTAAATGATATAACATGTATAATGTAATAAACCTTAAAATTAATTTTTAATTTAATTTTTTTCCGTCATGTATAATACGTGTATCATAATTCTCAAAAATAATAGATTAGGTGTGGTCAAATAGAGGTGTGTTTGTAATTTCCGAAATACTTATTCCTTTAATTAATAAGTGTTTTCTCCAGGACTGTTTTTCAAAATCCGGCAGACCTAACAATATTTATTGACCATTTGTTGCCCATACGTTCCTTGACTATATATTCTAACTGATTGTAAGTCATTTGTACTGATAAGACCTTTATCTTTTAAATTTGAAAATATGTGTGCAAAAAAAATACAAATATATATGTTATATATTATACAAAAATAATAAATATAACAATCAATACATAAAAAACTAGGTCTAATAATCAAATATACATAAGTATACAAAAAAAACTAAATGTATCATTTCTATCCGTGCGACCTTCGATCGTACCATGTGTCAATTAAATCCCATAATATAATATATAGGGTGGCAGCTGGGGTGCTACCTGCAAGAAGTATATTTCTAACCTAGATAAAAGAAATCTCAAATCCTGACAGTGAGACCTTGGTTACTAGCACAGGTGAAATTGCATAGTCTTGTGGCAGAAATGCCAAACATTCCGTATTGAAAGTTGTCGCAAAACACTCAATTCCTTAGTGTAATAAAAAAAAGTCCCTTCTTTCACCAGCAGCCATTGCTACTTTGTCTTGTGTGGATGTTGTCGAATATTCGGACGCATATTATGAGAAGAATTCCTGAACGCACAATCGAACTTGCCCTGTATGCTACATATATGTATAGTATATACAATTTGTACGTTGTGTATCTTCAGCTATCGTTATCTTTAATGTAAAATTTGAAAATGGCTGCAGACATCTGTCGGAAACTTAACATTTCTTTGATCGCCTTCACTCAGTTGATGGAAAAATTTTAAGGCATTACAATATAATGTATTCATGTATTTATCATCTGTTGATGTTCTTCAATGAAATAACAACAACTAAATATGTCAGGTATTTATTTAATAAGAATGCATTGTATAATCCTATAGTAAACTAAATAGATAGTGTTCAATCCTCATACACGAGGTTATATTTGAGGATAATTTCCGGAGGTAAATACCTTGCAATCTCACACGGAAATGATCTAAGGTTATAATTAATCAAATCACTACAAAACTGCTCAATAGTACAATCTTCTTGTAGATACTGCGCACACAACTTCTCGTATTTCCGAATTAGTCTCCTGATCCTTTCAACCTCGTTATCATCCCAACAAATATTCATATCGTAGTTTGTTGAATGTTCAGCGTCATGCATCAAATCCGTTAACTGGCACACTAATATCATGATAGCTGTACGTAGATCCTTTGAATCAGGCCAACGCAATGATGCATAATGCATCCACATCTTGTCAAACCAAAGGGGGTGTACTGCTTCTGGAAAGATGAATATAATGATCAATATCAAGTGGAACATGATATTTGTCAAAACAACTTTACCTGCTGCATTTTCCTAACCCTTTATATTACTTATACCCAACATATTTGCCTATAATACCTCATATTTTTTTAAACTAATTACTACTGTCAACAGAGTCAAACTTTATCAAACATTTTGGACGACTACCTGATGGTGTCTTTGGTGAGCTTTGGCCAATATACGCTAAAGAATATTTGTTTAGGGACTCATTTATATCTTTAATCATAATTTCGGGCATGTTTTCCAACACTCTTTTAGGTAGCCAAACCCTATACTGGTCAGAATCAGAATCAAGAAGGGTTGCTACTAGGCATTGCCCAATTCTATCTGTTAGGTACTTCAAGAATATTGTTTAGTCACTTATCGATGTTAAATGGCTGAATTTGAATGATCAAAGCTACTGTTGTTTCACCATTTATATAATAACCAGCAGAGTTAGATTACCTTACAGCACCGCTGCATATCCTAAGACATTTGAACAACCCAACCCCCAGATAAATTTCGGGTGGGCCACAAAAAAAATATATAGTTAACATTTCAATTATTCTGCACCGAACTGCTGAGAGACTTTACAATCGGCATGGCCATTGTGAGGACAACAATGCCTTAACGACAACTTCCATCAACGACTCATATTATATTATAAACGCGTTTATGATCTGAGGACAAAAGCACGAAAATGTTTTACAGTTCTTGATAAGGGGACCGAACTGCTGTGTGGTTTTAGAATGAGTAGGGTCATTGAGAGGGTAACAATGCCTTCCTCGAGCTATTTATACGATACAAATTTGTCGAACAACACGTTTTCGATGTTATGAGGATGGTCATTGAGAGGACCTGGAATTTAAACACCCCCGTACCTCACCGCCCCTTACCTCACCGCCCCTTACCCCACCGCACATGACGATTGAGATGGCAAAGAATGGTCATATCATCGGATTAAGGTGTAGGGATGCGAGATTGAAGTAGGAAAAGAGCGCTGCTGCTCGTTCGCCCGGTCGATGAGTTATAGTAGTGAGGGGAGAGAGGTGGGGAGGGAGGGACACTATCCGTACTCATTTCTATTAAACAACACATTGTCGCCCCCCCCCCCCGAGACTTAGAGGATTCGGCTTCCCACAACAGCACGAAAATGTTTGCTATTTATACGATACAAATTTGTCGAACAACACGTTTTCGATGCGATGAGGATGGACATTGGGAGGACTCGGAATTTAAACACACCCCGCCCCTTATCCCACCACACAAACCACCCCTTCACCCCCCCCCCCCCCCGGGAGGAGTACCTTTCGGCCTCAATCATCTACTATAGTTATATCGTTTTGTCGTTAAGTCGTTATATCGTTATGTCGTTATGTCGTTATATCGTTATATCGTTATATCGTTATATCGTCATATCGTTATATCGTTATATCGGCATATCGGCATATCGACATATCGGCATATCGGCATATCGGCATATCGGCATATCGGCATATCGGCATATCGGCATATCGGCATATCGGCATATCGGCATATCGGCATATCGTCATATCGTCATATCGTCACATCGCCACATCGTCATATCGTCATATCGGCATATCGGCATATCCTCATATCGTCATACCGTCATGCCGTCATACCGTCATACCGTAATTCCGCCATACCGTCATACCGCCATACAGTCACGTCGTCATGTCATTATATCGTTATATCGTCATATCGTCATATCGTCATATCGTCATATCGACATGTCGCTATGTCGCTATGTCGCTATGTCGCTATGTCGCTATGACGCTATGTCGCTATGTCGTTATGTCGTTATATCGTTATATCGTTATATCGTTATATCGTTATACCGTTACATCGTTATATCTTTATATCGTTATATCGTTATATCGTTATATCGTTATATCGTTATATCGTTATATCGTTATATCGTTATATCGTTATATCGTTATATCGTTATATCTTTATATCGTTATATCGTTATATCGTTATATCGTTATATCGTTATATCGTTATATCGATATATAGTTATATCGTTATATCGTTATATCGTTATATCATTATATCGTTATATCGTTATATCGTTATATCGTCATATCG